CTTACACTTTACTTTACTTCTCCTCCTGGACTGATTCCTCATCCCTGATATATTCTTTATCGGACTTTTGCCAATCAACTGCTTGACCTGTAGGTCCCCTCCTCCTCCTCTTTCCTCCTTCCTTGACTCTGTTCATTCCTCACCCCCTCTCCAGTCTCAAAACCTTTTCATACATTCGGCTAGTTTGGTGCTGTCTCTTACCTTTTCGGCTGTTTTGTTTTGTTTTTCTTTGCTGAGTTTTTTCTTCTTATTCGTTTGCGTTTAGCGCGTCTTCGTGCGCAGATAAATATAAATAAATAAATAAATCTGCATATTGCTAATAGGCCGAGTAAATGAACCAGATTAAGACATGCATTTCGAACAAGACTAAACAGCTCTTATTTTCAAAGATGACGAGCACCAAATACATATAAGTCGCGCACCTTATGCAGCAATTTGACGTTTTGTCTCGTCAAGCTCTCATACCCACATCTTACTGCACATCGCCAAAGGCCGTTACTGTTTAGTTGACAATATGTGTATCGTATTGTAAGTTCCACTCGTTAAAACGAAGTGCTCGCTCATTCAAGAACGTAGAACTACTTCGAAAGTTAGAAGTTCGAAGCCGATGTATCGCATTTAAAATGTTATTCAAACTAACGGGCCGTAAGCATTTCATTAAAACTAAGAGTCTCTGTATAATCTGATCTCGCGTGTTCTGCAAGTATCAAGCTGTATTTTGGTTTCGACGACATTTTAGGCTTATTTCTGTACAGATACAAGTTCGAAAACAATGTTTTTCACTTTACCTCCGATTTTAAAGCANTAATCTGATCTCGCGTGTTCTGTAAGTATCAAGCTGTATTTTGGTTTCAATGACATTTTAGGCTTATTTCTGTACAGATACAAGTTCGAAAACAATGTTTTTCACTTTACCTCCGATTTTAAAGCATTGAACAACAGAAAATCTTTCACTACTAGAAGTCTGGATTTCAGAGCAGGCCGGACAGTTCTTCTGCCATATCTGGTGTGATCGATTGCAGGAGTTTTCGTTCCTCTTCACGTATCTGAAATAAAAGTTCAAATGTTTATAAAGCAAGTATGTTCCATTCACAAACAGTTTTTCTCTCGCACCATCGGGTTTAGTTCTTCTCTCGCACCATAAGGTTTTTTTTTTACAGAATTCAAGTTTTTCCGATTTGTTGCTGTTCATATATGCTTCGAATCAAATTATGGCTTTCTGCGAACCTATAGCAACTCAAAGGCACAGTTCAGGTTAAAAATGGTTCCTGGGAATTATCCTCAGGATGATACTATGACCCTCAAGGCCCGAGGATAGCCTAAGGGATGCGGTCGGGTCGAAAAAGTCAAGGTATGGCGTAATAAGGGCCACAAAACCGGCTCAGCCGAAGTACATACTGAAGACGGACGAGTTGTTGAGCGTCATAAAAACTGTAGAGGTTGAACCACTCGCACCGGGACCCCCACGTTGCACGCAGGCAGCGTATTGGAGCCAATTCTATGCAATCGCGCGCGCGTTCAGATCGTAACATACTCGTCTGTGTCTTTGATATATGGAAATACCAACAGATGGCAACTGATCGAACCCTCGATATGCCTATCAAATTCCACGTCCATTCGAGATTACCTGAGCTGCCATCAGTTTTTTTTTTTTGTTGGATGCGACCAACCAGTTCCTAGGCGCTGAATGGGTGGATTTCATGGATTAGAGAGGGATCCTAAATCAGCAAGTCAGGACACTGAGTGCTTTACTCCCTCGTGAGTCATTTCCATCCCTCATTTTGATGATCATTTTAAGATGAAGAAGGAGTAATAGGTAACTGCCTTGGGTGGCATTTCTCATATAAAGTACGGCTTCTTACCTTAACAACTTTGTCGAACAGCTCTCTTGACTTAGCGCTGAGTTTACCGATTCGTTGATCCATAGCCTTTTTTGCCTTCACAATCTGAAGTGGATGCGCTATAGGGCAAGTTGAATGCACTTCCTCGTATTGTAAGAATTGAAATCACCTCAGCTAACCACTCTTCAAAGCCTGCTTTTTGCTCCGCGTTGAAGTTCTTGTCAGCGTACTCTCGAAGCAGCTTGTGCTAAAATTAGTGACAGTTAGTTCAATACTGCCAGACGTACCTCACCAGTGTGGCCAAAAAGAACACCATTGTCGTGCAGATTTCTAAAATGAAACTTCTCAAGTGGCTGTTGCGGCTTAGCCTCTCAGCCAGCCATCACAGCTTCAATGGTTGATGTATCTCGAACATAGACACCTCCTTTACTATGGGAGATTATGGTTGACTCCGAAATCCAAATGCCGTCACAAAAATGAAGTAGGCACATTCTATATGCCTTTTCCACCAGTATACAATGCGGGCAGTGACCATGGAAGTCGAGCTCAGATCCGTATAGTTTTGGACAGGCGTATGGATGATCAAACAAGCACTAATCGGAGAAGACATAAGATAGTCCTCAGGGGCTCTGGAAACCTTCTAATCTCCACTGCCCTACTTTCCCTTTTCTTTTATTTCACCAGTGTTCGAATGGCTAATGTCTTCTAAGGGGTAGCAGTATTCTTTTCGTCTGCCGAATCTGACTGTTGAGTGGCCCAATTCCTTCACCTCATCAGTCGGGTCGACAACCGCACAAGTAATACTTAAAGGAGATTACCTCAGCAATGAAAGTGAAGAGAGCTTGATGAGAGTGTAATTGGAAAGCCCTCACTGTACGCGCAAGAAAGAAGGACAACGTTATGCAGTAGCTGATTCATGGTTGATCCTTGACATTATGAAAATACACAATCAAGGAAAAGAACGAGTAGTTAGATAGTTGAAGTCCTACATTCGACTAGAGTTATGTACATAGCGCGAAGCACACCCCTTACCCTCTTTCCGAAGACGAGCTATGGTTGCCTAGAGCAGGTTGTCACTTGTGAGGATAGGCGTCTTGGTCTTGTAGTTATGGGTGTTCAAATCTCTGATAATTGTGCTCTCCTGTTCTTTTTTTAAAGAAGTTCTTTTCCTGAGCGATGTTTATAGTTCGCCATTTGGACTCATCAATGTTCTCTGATCGGTATGTAACCTAACTACATGCCGTGAGCACACTGAGTACATCAGAGTGAACCCAGGATATGTTCAAATCTTGGATTAGGTTTCGAGTGACTTGGTGTTCTTTGACGCAAATGGACAAGTTGTAGAGTGGTAGTACCTGGCAAAAGAGACTGAAGTTGCTTCAGTGTTAGTAATACCTACTGGTGTTCTTGAGGCGTGGAGATAGCCAAACAAAAGGCGAGGAATGGGACGCACCTTTTCAGCATCAACCAATGTGTCGTTCATCCAAATAGCATCGAATCCTTCCTTTACATTCAGAGGCAACATTTTGATAAAACGTGGGGTGGTATCGAAGTGGTCGTCAACTGAACATTTGATTGTTAGATGAATGCATTCTCCTCCTTTCATTTTCAGCCATCAACTTCGAGGCGACATTCATCAGCCTCAGCAGGAATCAGACCTTATCTACGTACAGTACCTGTGATTGGTTCTGCTTTGAACTCGAAAACAGCGGCACGTTCCGCTTCGGTAAGTGAGGCCACTATTTCAAACGTCCGTTTCTGCTCGTTCATGCATTCGGTCCCATTTTTGTAATTCGCCCAGACCTTCAATTATTTTCAATTGGTATCGATTTTTGGATCAGAGTAATTTAAAAGTCAATGGCCTACTTCTCTCAGTTGATCCGCTTGCTTGTTTGGTAACTTTGTAGTGAACGGCGGGAGTCCACAAGGAATTCTCTGAAGGTTAAAAAATATTCAACGAATTCGTTGCAAGACATAAGTCCTCTACTAAAAAAAATGCTATTTTTTGAAAATTGTTCGAACCTGGGGAAAACGCAGTTCCGGATAGGTACGGACGGGACAGCATATAAAGGTATGGCTCACAACTTTTGTCACAGAACCGTGTTCTATTCGAGCCATCCTTTGTCTGCTAGTAGGTAACTAGCCTATTATCTGGTTGCACTCATCTCACACATGATTTCTGTAAGTCTTAAGTTTGTTCGGATACAGTATCCCATGTGCTGCGGGTCCCTTAATCGGCGTGGCATTCAAACGTATTTGAAGGCATCACACCCTCTTCTAGGTCCCAAGTCCAGCTGATTTTCCCGATACTCGTGATCCTCAGGAAATTTCAGAGTCATGACTTTGCAGCCGTTCCCTAGTACATTGTAGTATCAGTGCAAGGGGGACCTCAAATGGAATCCCGAGGTCCCGCAGAGTGTGAGGTGCAGTCCCTGAGTGCCATCATTCGAACATGGATCCCGCTACCCGTCCTATGCAAGGTGCCGTGTCCCTTTCCTATGTACATATTCTACAGTTTGGGGACACTTCGCAGACTCCCGGAAAGCTGAGTCCCATTTCTCTTACTCTGACCCATCATGACCCCATTTGTTTCTATACTGCGCTTCAGATAATCTGATATTGAAGTAGTAACGGGACCGTTATCCCATCATATTAATGGCCCATTACTACTAAGCGAAGTGTACTTTCCCTGAACCATAAATAGTAAAACCATCGTGCAAAAACAATGACAAAACCTGTACCCATCAATTTAGTATTATGATACCATAATCTTTTTTCGCTTTATCTACTCGATCACTCCCAACAACACAGCTTTCGCTTTCTATCCGGCAATGCAGAGCTAGTTATTCCTCTGCTGTTACGTTATACTCGTTCTGATGCAACGCACCCACACTACTAGCACATCAGCACCTGCTCAGACCAATTAGGCCACTTATCCTTTAGAGCTGGTTCCCTGGTATTACGTGTGTGTAGGTGGAAATGTATCAAAAAACAATGCCCTTGTCCTAAACACAACACCTTCGTAGCCCTACTAAAGAGTCATACTCAAGTAAATACATTTTAGATGATAACNNNNCATTTTTGGTTGACAGACCGAACCAACATTCAAATGATTCTACGGTTCTGGGTTCAGGTCGAATACGTAGTGTATCCCAAAAACAAGATTAGCGTCCAACAAACTGTACTCCAATTTCGTTTCTCTGATCAAAAGTAATACTTACAGTTTTCCCCTGTGCTGAGGCCAGAGCGACGAACGCCAAGCAAACCAACCAAGCCAGCATCTGAATAGTTGGATTATTTCCTCTAATAAATTAGATATTCCTATCAGACAGAGGAAGCCTTTCTAAGCTCGCGATCCGAAAGCACCATTGAAATACAAAGAAGATCACAGATGAATGAACAGAGGTATAAAAGAAAACAATAAAAATGATCCATGAGCCATACTGTTGCAGCGTAACACCTGATGGGGATGAGCGCCAGATCCTCTTTTATAGGAGGCGAAACTGGAAACCGGATTACTCGTACAAAAAACGCACTAGTATGTGCGTCATGTTGAGGCCTACTTTTCTTCGCCGCTACAGTATGCAAGAAGAAGTTGTTAACGTAAGAGCGGAAAAATTGGGAGCGAATCCTCATCGGAACAGCCTGTATCTACGCAGCGAAATCCTGGTGGATGTCGTATTTGCTCTAAAACATATACAACCAAATAAATCTGATTTTGGTGATGAGTCTGTCTTACCTGAAAAAGTCAAACAAACAAAATTCCGGATCTAAGTGAAGGTCAATCTAAGACTTAGCCCCTTCTCATACACGCTAGGTTCTCCCTTCTGAACTCAACTGACAGTGAGCAGACAAATGGCTCACCAACTCTCTGGAAATGGACTCGAGAACAAAGTGTCTACAACAATATCCTCTTCTCTTTATCCGTTGAGTCGCTAAATCCGACCATGATAAGATGATGAAATACCTGCACCCTCAATATTCTAAATTTAAAAAAATGAATGATATGGGAAGGATTTTTGGCGTGGATCGATCCCGTCTTGGGATTCGCGCCGCGTTCGCTTTCTGCTCGGAATCGTAGTGTGACGGGTGGTAGTAGATTAGGTTGCAAAGTCTGCTTATCTATAAATCACTGTTTTTAACCTCCTATACAACTATGAT